ACACGAAAGGTAGGTAAGCAAAAAAGGAACCGAAGAAAAAATAAAGGGGAGAGGGCAAGGAAAAAAACATAAAGTGGAGTCTGGTAAAAGCGACGCGGCCATTTTCTTTCTAAAAATATGAAGTGGAGTCTGGTAAAAGCGACTGAAAGGCTTCGGCGGTGTGGTTGGGGTTGGTGGTGGTTGTGGTGTTGGTGGTGGTTGTGGTGTTGGTGGTGTTGGTGGTGCTGGTGGTGTTGGTGTTGTTGGTGTTGTTGGTATTGGTGTTGTTGGTGTTGTTGGTGGTGGTAGTGTTTCTGGTGTTGTTAGTGTTGTTGGTGTCGTTGGGTTTGTTGGTGGTGTTGGTGTTGTTGGTGTTGTTGTTGGTGTTGGTATTGTTTGTGTTCGTGTTGTTGTTGTTGTTGTTGATGTTGTTGTTGTTGTTTGTTGTTGTTGTTTTTTGTTGTTTTTTGTTGTTGTTTTTTGTTGTTGTTTTTTGTTGTTGTTTTTTGTTGTTGTTTTTTGTTGTTGTTTTTTGTTGTTGTTTTTTGTTGTTGTTTTTTGTTGGTGTTGTTTGTTGGTGTTTTTTGTTGGTGTTTGTTGTTGTTGTTTTTTGTTGTTGTTGTTGTGTTGTTGTTGTGTTGTTGTTGTGTTGTTGTGTGTTGTTGTGTGTTGTTGTGTGTTGTTGTGTGTTGTTGTGTGTTATTGTGTGTTGTTGTGTGTTGTTGTGTGTTGTTGTGTGTTGTTGTGTGTTGTTGTGTGTTGTTGTGTGTTGTTGTGTGTTGGTGTGTGTTGTTGTGTGTTGTTGTGTGTTGTTGTGTGTGTTGTTGTGTGTTGTTGTGTGTTGTTTGTGTGTTGTTGTGTGTTGTTGTGTGTTGTGTGTGTTGTTGTGTTGTTGTGTGTTGTTGTGTGTTGTGTGTGTGTTGTTGTTGTGGTTGTGTGTTGTTGTGTGTGTTGTTGTGTGTTGTTGTGTGTTGTTGTGTGTTGTTGTGTGTTGTGTGTGTGTTGTTGTGTGTTGTTGTGTGTTGTTGTGTGTGTTGTTGTGTTGTTGTTGTGTGTTGTTGTGTGTTGTTGTGTGTTGTTGTTGTGTGTTGTTGTGTGATGTGTTGTTGTGTGGTGTTGTTGTTTGTTGTGTGTTGGTTGGGTTCTGTTGTTGGGATGATGATGTGGGCGTGCATTTGTTCTGTGGTGGTGTGTTGTGGGAGGTTGTTGTTGTGTGTTGTTGTGTGTTGTTGTGTGTTGTTGTGTGTTGTTGTGTGTTGTTGTGTGTTGTTGTGTGTTGTTGTGTGTTGTTGTGTGTTGTTGTGTGTTGTTGTGGGTTGTTGTGTGTTGTTGTTGTGTTGTTGTGTGTTGTTGTGTGTTGTTGTGTGTTGTTGTGTGTTGTTGTGTGTTGTTGTGTGTTGTTGTGTGTTGTTGTGTGTTGTTGTGTTTTGTGGTGTGTTGTGGTGTGTTGTGGTGTGTTGTTGTGTGTTGTTGTGTGTTGTTGTGTGTGTTTTGTGGTGTGTTGTGGTGTGTTGTTGTGTGTTGTTTGTGTTGTTGTGTGTGTTGTTGTGTGTTGTTGTGTGTTGTTGTGTGTTGTTGTGTGTTGTTGTGTGTTGTTGTGTGTTGTTGTTGCGTTGTTGCGTTGTTGTGTGTTGCGTGTGTTGTTGTGTGTTGTTGTGTGTTGTGGTGTGTTGTTGTGTGTTGTTGTGTTTGTTGTTAGTGTGTTAGTGATTGTGAAGTGTGTGTTAGTTGGAGTTGTGAGTGTGAGTTGTGAGTGTGAGTTTGTAGTTGTAGGTTGTGAGTTGTGTTGAGATGTGCTAGTTATGTAGTTAGTGTAGTTGGTGTTGTGTGTTGTTGTGTGTTGTTGTGTGTTGTTGTGTGTTGTTGTGTGTTGTTGTGTGTTGTTGTGTGTTGTTGTGTGTTGTTGTGTGTTGTTGTGTGTTGTTGTGTGTTGTTGTGTGTTGTTGTGTGTTTTTGTGTTGTTGTGTGTTGTTGTGTGTTGTTGTGTGTTGTTGTGTGTTGTTGTGTGTTGTTGTGTGTTGTTGTGTGTTGTTGTGTGTTGTTGTGGTTGTGTGTTGTTGTGTGTTGTTGTGTGTTGTTGTGTGTTGTTGTGTGTTGTTGTGTGTTGTTGTGTGTTGTTGTGTGTTGTTGGGTGTTGTTGTGTGTTGTTGGGTGTTGTTGTGTGTTGTTGTGTGTTGTTGTGTGTTGTTGTGTGTTGTTGTGTGTTGTTGTGTGTTGTTGTGTGTTGTTGTGTGTTGTTGTGTGTTGTTGTGTGTTGTTGTGTGTTGTTGTGTGTTGTTGTGTGTTGTTGTGTGTTGTGTGTTGTTGTGTGTTGTTGTGTGTTGTTGTGTGTGGTTGTGTGCTGTTGTGTGTTGTTGTCTGTTGTTGTGTGTTGTTGTGTGTTGTTGTGTGTTGTGTGTTGTTGTTGTTATTGTTGTCATTGTCGTTGTTGTTGTTGTTCTTCTTCTTCTTGTTGTGGCTGTGGTTGTGGTTGTGGTTGTGGTTGTTGGTGTTGTTGTTCTTGTGGTTGTGATTGTGGTTGTGGTTGTTGTTGTTGTGGTTGTGGTTGTTGTTGTTGTTGCTGCTGTTGTTGTTGTTGTGGTTGTTGTTGTTCTTGTTATTGTTTTTGTTCTTGTTGATGTTGTTCTTGTGGTTGTGATTGTTGTGGTTGTTGTGGTTGTTGTGGTTGTTGTGGTGTGTTGTGGTGTGTTGTGGTGTGTTGTTGTGTGTTGTTGTGTGTGTGTTGTTGTGTGTTTTCTGTGTTTTCTGTGTTTTCTGTGTTTTGTGTGTGTTGTGTGTTGTGTGTTGTGCGTTGTGCGTTGTGCGTTGTGCGTTGTGCGTTGTGCGTTGGTGTCGTTGGTGTCGTTGGTGTTGTTGGTGTTGTTGGTTTTGTTGTTGTTGTTGTTGTGGTTGTTGTTGTTGTTGTTGTTGTTTGTTTTTTGTTGTTGTTGTTGTTATTGTTGTTGTTGTTGTTGGTTGTGGTTGTGGCTGTTGTTGTTGTTGTTGTTGTTGTTGTTGTTTGTTGTTGTTTGTTGTTGTTTGTTGTTGTTTGTTGTTGTTTGTTGTTGTTTGTTGTTGTTTGTTGTTGTTTGTTGTTGTTTGTTGTTTGTTTGTTGTTGTTTGTTGTTGTTTGTTGTTGTTTGTTGTTGTTTGTTGTTGTTTGTTGTTGTTTGTTGTTGTTTGTTGTTGTTTGTTGTTGTTTGTTGTTGTTTGTTGTGGTGTTGTTGTTGTTGTTGCTGCTGCTGCTGTTGTTGTTGTTGTTGTTGGTGGTGGTGGTGGTGGTGTTGGTCTTGGTCTTGGTGTTACCCCTGCAGCGTTTTTGCTCGGTTCCGTAGTGGCCGAAAATCGTCCAATCGGTGGTGTTTCCGCGTGTTTTTGCAACTCTCGGAGCAAAAAACACCGTAAATACCAATGTTTTTGGCGGGTCGGAAGCCCAAAACCACGGTATTTACGATGTTTTTTGCCTCTGGTAGCAAAAAGCACGGTATTTACAGTGTTTTTTGGCCAGCACCTAGCAAAAACACTGGTATTTACGGAGGTTTCACCATGTAGCAAAATGTGGTTTCTTGATCCGAAAAGAACAAAAATACTGTAAATGAGGGGGGGGGTACTGAAATGACTAGCAATCTCCTGAATAATCAGGTAACGGGGCTGGCCGCCCTCCCCTTTACTTCGTAAAGCAAAACTCAAGGTAGCCCCACTGGAGCTACCTTTCGTGAACTCCCACTGAGGAATAATAAGAAACTATTTCTTGTACGCTATACAAACAAAAGCATAAATAGAGCACTCGATAGTTCATCGAACATTTCCATCTCTGTTTCCTGCTCTCTGCCTCCTTGACTTTGATGTCAAACATTTTTGTCAAAAACTCGGAGCCCACGTAGAGCAGTTGTTCCTGTCGACTGAGAGGTGCAATGGTGAAGAGATTGCGGATGTTTGGATTTTGATGCATGAAACAGTATGAAACCATGAAACTATGCATGCATGAAACTTATGAAACTGGTGAATCAGGCTTGTTAAACAAAAGGCACCCTACCCTTCGATTCTTTTTGATCTGTCACCCACTCCTTCTGCTTTGTGTCTGTCTCCCACTCCTGAATACAACGGCAGCGTTTCACCAAATAAATCCCACGAAGACAACCACAAAGACAGCCGTAATCTTCGACAACTGGGAAAGTTTCACAAGATTCACAAGGTAAATGCAAGAAACGAGTTTCTGCACTTAACCCTCCGAATGATCAGAATCACACAATAAATGTGTTCACCCAAAAGCAATGCTGCAATGTGGAAAAAGGGTCCTCAAGCACCTGGAAAATCTCCAAACCCACCTGCGGATGCACAACGCAAAGTTTGAGGACGCGAATTACAAACGCGAATTACAACTTGCAGAGAGACCAAAATAGGGCAGAAGGAGCAGAATAACGCAAGAAACGGATGACAAATGCAACACCATGTTACACCGAATCTATTCAACTCAAAATAATCGTGTCTTCTCTGCCATGCCTACGACAAGAACCTGGAGGTTGCATCTTTCGACTGTCAAACAAAATGAACTTGGTGTCTCGTTCACACATTACCTTGAGTTGGCTCGCTTTGCTTTCCCCCACCAGGGAAGTTGACTGCAAAAGCCTTGAGTCACCAAGTTTGGAGAACGTGACATAATGTGAAATATGTAAATGTTTTTCCCGTGGGAGTTATTTACAGTGACAATTTACAGTTATTTCAAAGATTTGAAACACTGTAACACTTCTCTTCCGTTACAGTCGTGAAAACGCGAGTCTTCGGGCCTCGCTCTGATCCAAGGAAACGAAATCCTCGGAGGCCACAGGCACAGCCGCCTGAAACAGTTGCAGGATGTCAGGATGACTTCATCTCCAATAGTACATGCAATACACCGCTGAAGCAGTGGTGAGGACAAAAGTCTTGAAGATTATAATATATATATATATATATACTTATATATAACTTATTTTTTGCCAACTGCAAGTAGAAGCGGACTTCACTGCGGCAGGTTGCTGGTTCTGAATTCCTCCTGGATATACTCAGCCCGCAAAATCGGCTCCGATGGACTGTCCCATCTCGGTCGCTGTCATTTGTTGACAGAGCACCAAAAATTCTGCTGGGAGAGGCACCAGGTCCTTCTCTGGGCTGTGAGAAGGGAAGTGTGAAAAGAAACCCTCCGCGAATGCTTTGCATAATGCTGGAGGGTACTCCTTCAAGACTGCGGTCTTGTACCGCCCAAGTTCATCCATGCCAATCGTAGCGGCCCTTGGCAAGTCTGAGCGGACCGCATTGTCCCTAATGTAGATCGGCAAGTCGGGCAAGTTCAAGGTCAGCAGTCCAGTGCCTTTTGTGCTTGCCGCACCCAGAAGGCCTTGAGCACATTCCAGAAGCCGGAAGCCAGGAAGTCCAAGCACCATACGGATCAGCGGCAAACGCCAGATACTGGCTGCATCAGGATCATCTGGTTCACGTGGATGTTCCAAAATGCCCATCCCTCCCACGGTGGAGAGGAGCACCATAGCATGCACACTGAAGCCCAGAAGAAGATGTCCGTCATGTAGTTGTTGCATCTCACGCAAGGACACAGATGGCAGCCCCCATAAGTGTTGTAGCGTGCGAATGATGCGTGGGCCTTGGCGGCCCTGTTGGATCATCTTGGTGTCCTTCTTACCCCGGGCAATGGACCATGTGCAACATGGGGGCCCAGAGAGCATTCCGAGCACTTGGCCCTGTGCAATGGCTTGGAGCCAGAACCGCTGCGTCTCTGGTCGCCCAATGTCACCCCACGTGGAGTTGATCACCAAGTCAATCGAGACGACATAGAGGTCCACCATGTGATGTTTGGCAGCCAAGCGATCGAGGTACCACTGGAAGTCCCCGGGACGCCTTCTGCCCGAGTAGGCGTGCAGCACAATCCTTTCTTTGTAGAAGGGACGTGGACAGCGTGTCTCCTCCGGAGTCCAAACCGCTTCACTTCCCGCTAGATCTTCGCACCATTGCTCGTAGAGATCCAGCTGGTGCAGATGTGCCCCGTCTGCTAGCTCGTAGTCAATCTCGTGCAAAAAGGCCCAATGCCCAGAGGCTCGAAATCCTCGATTTGAGGTGGATAACGTTATTGATAACGTTATCGACCTTGAATCCGGGATTTGATGTACAAAGTGTTATCATGATACCGCTTTTCAAGTTAAAATGCATTTTTAGTTAAAAAGTAGGATCTTAATCTCCGATCGGAGCATGTTGCATAACACTTTCCGATCGGAGCATGTTATATAGATAATATATGATATTGTTCACAATTATATTTAGATATATTTAGTATTTGTATGTCAGACTGGTATGTGGGGGCTGCAAAGCCCTTTGTTTGTGAAGATGCGTGAGTTCTAGATTGGTGTGCTATATGTGGGGGCTGCAACAGCATCCCTGGAGGAACTGAGTTCAAACAACTCTGTTGCAAAGGCCCCGGGGGAGCTGTGACAGGCTTGAAAACTGTTCTGAAAGCATCTCAAGCATACCCGGAAGATTTTGGAAGGGTGGTAGCAGAAGCGACTGCTTCTGATCTCTTGTCGTCCTATGGATTGGACGACTTTGCAAAATAAGGCTTGGCTTAGTCATGCACTGTAGATTTCTCACGTAGGCAAATTCATAATTTGCAAGTGTCGTATATTCTTTAGACACGCGTAGAAACAGCCACTTTGGGGAAAACATTGTTGCGTCAGCCGTGCAGAAACCATTTGTGGGGCTTGCAAAGGCCCGCGTTTGTGAGGCCTGCAAAGGCCTTTTATTGCTTGGGTTCAACATGTATTAGCTTCAACGGTTTGTTTTGAACAGGTGTACAGTTAATTGGGTTTACTGATTCGTGTGGATGCGGCAGAGTCGCCACCTGGCAGCCAGCTCCTTGTGGCAACCATTCTGCAACGACTTGTTGACTCAGTTTGTTTCCTGTGGGCAAGACATTGACGATTTGTATGGCAGCTCTGTGGTCAGATCTTCGCACTGAGCGATTTGTGCCCCATCTGTATATGCCTGGTTTCCAAAGCAACATGATGAGAGATCACATGCGCGCCTTGTGGATGAGTGAAACTAACGGCACCCACCATGTATTTGGAATACCTTTTGTTTTGTCCTGAAAGTGTGCTCAAAAATGGTAGCCTGGCTTTCCTTATTTCTTTTGTGGGGATGTTTTGTTCACCCTCCGCTCAGGACGTGTGCCTTACACTACGTGGCTCCAACAGCAGCTACTCAATGAGTCGTTTGGCGCCAACATTCACGTACATCCCAGTGCAGTGCCTATGGCCCCAGGGCTCGCACCGCAGATGGTACCCATGCAGCCGTGTGGTTTGATGAGCCCGCATCCAATGCATATGCCCGTGGGCCCTGTTCCTCAAGCTGTGTTTCAGCAGCAAGAAGCAGTGCCAACGCCTCCTTGGAGGGCAGATACCAGTCCTTCGTTTCTTGCCGCTACCAATGCTCCTGTGCCTGCAGATCATGGTGTTGGACACGGCGCTATGCCTGCGGACGCTCCTGCTGCAGAAATTCCAAAGACGGATGACAAGAACTGGTGGTGGGATGGGCAGAAATACCGCCCTTGGTCTCGCGGTTCCGGTGCCAAACAAGGCAGTGCATACGCCAGGTGCAATGTGTGCAGGAAGATATGCTTTGTCTTCAGGACTTCCACGTTGAGGACCGCTACGGTGAAACACTGCAGAAACCGAGCATGCTCCAGGAACGGTGGCAAAGACACTGGTGAGAAGGACTGAATTGGAAATATGCAAAAAGAGCAAGGATGCGGACTGCAAAGTCCGTGATAATCAACCTACTCAGTTTATGAACCCCCGAATATGACCATGTGTATTACATATATATTTTTGCTGTTTTGCGTTGTGGAAAATGACTAAGGCACAGCATGCATAATATAGTGCACATAAGGTTTGTGGTCCAAGATTGCAGTCATTCTCGGTCAGACTGGTTCGTTTGCAGGAGATCAGCTGGATGGGCGATGATGAAGCGCCCCCATATGCCGAAGCAGACTCCAATGACGAGATGCCTGGTGGCGCTGCTGGTACTACCCCCAAGGCTTCCCCAATGGTGCCTACTGGAGTCCTGGAGAAGCTACGACCACGCCCCCCGACAATGAGCGCTTGAGTGTTGCTCTGTTTGTGGCAGGGAATGTGCCTGAGCCGAAGGCCAAAGCTGCTCCGAAGAAGAGATTGAAGAATAAGACGGGCGAGAAGAAGAAGAAGACTGGTCTCAAGGTCAAGAAGTAGATAACTGTGAAGAGCTGCAGAGTGGTATAAAAAAAGGTGACGCGCTTCCGATCGGAGCGAGAAAATTTTGGAAATTTCCGATCGGGGGCGGACTTGTAAATCTTATAGTTGTCTTATAGACGTCTTATACATGCATATATAAGACGTCTATAAGACATCTATAAGATTTTACAGTTTCCCAATTCCTTTGAAAGTCCAATCAGAAAATCAGAAATTTTATTTTTTTTCTTGCCAGCCTTGAGGCCTGAAAAGGCCTAACATCTGGGGCCTGCAAGGGCCCGACATCTGGGGCCTGAAAAGGCCCAACATCTGGGGCCTGCAAAGGCCCAACATCTGGGGCCTGCAAAGGCCCAATGTCTAAGCTTGCAAAGAGCGTGAGTAGTTCCCACAGGTAGGCTTAGGGCAAGGTAAAGCTTTGACCTCGTTTTTTGCGCCCTTCCAGCAAAGACGACTGCAGACAGAAATTCTTCCACAATCTCTGTGTGCTTATGTCAGTTACATTTGGCGCCTCAGCCTTTTTTTGGTTTAGGACTTGAGAACAGCTGCCCAAATCTTGAGAGATCATGGCCACCAACGCTTTGATCGAGTCTTTGAAGCTTCTCGCTGACGAGCGCATATGCTTGTCCTGCTATATGGCCTACATAGAGGTCTGGTTGCCAGAGAAACTTGGCTGCCTTTGTTCCCATGTTTTTCCCTTCAATTCCTTGGCCAGGCGCCACAAACACATACCTGAGGAAAGATCAGCTTGCCTTGCATTGTATCTCTGCAGACTGCCTTTGTGAGCTCCATGATGGGCAGCGCGCTTGCAATCGGAAGGCTGCGACTGAGGTGTAGTGAAGGGAAAAGCTTTTCGCGCAGTATTCCTGAAGTCTCTGCAGACAACAGCGCTGCAAAGTGACGCAGTTGCAACGCGGCCCTATAGGTAGAATTTTTTCTCCTGTCCATGCAGCCACCTGGTCCGCTGAGTTTGGAAACAGAACTGCTTTGAAACTAAAATGAAACTTCGTTTCTCCATGTTGCACATTTCCCACTGCCTCTTCCCAGAACACGGGTTTTCGCTGCTGCTGAATGAATGAATGAATGAATGAACGAACGAACGAACGAATGAATGAATGAATGAATGAATGGATGACATCATTGCCTGCATAGCGCAGCTTTGGTACTTTATTTTGAACGCCATAGTTTCTTGTAGTAGCCGCCATGCCTGCAGCAATGAAGCGCCCAGCCACGCGTTGTCAACAAGATGAGCAACCAGTTCTGAAGCGGCCTGCTGCTGCAACAGTGCCTGCTGATGACAAAGCTGCAGATCCCATGGCCCCACTGCCAGAAAACAAGGAAGAGTTGGAGAAATTCTTGGCAGACCCAAATATCAAGCCATTGGACAAAAAGCTTGCCAAGTTCAAAGCGGCCGTGAAGCCAGACGAAGATGCGTCAGCCATGTTTGCCAAGATGAAACGATTGTTCGATCCCAGTGAGATGAGCTGCCTATGGGGCAGGTTTGGGACTCTCATCAATGGGTCCGCGGGTGAGCAGCAAGAGCATTTGCAATATGGATTGGCGCAGTGGCAAAGTGGAGGCCAAGTACAGTGAAGGTGTACTGGCGCAACCCATGCCATGCTAGGTACACCTGTGGCTCTTCACAACTTGACACCGAATATGTACATGAGCACGGCTGAGAAATACGCGGAGCTGAAGCATGTGAGAGCTTCGGAAGTGTCTCTTTGCTTCCTGCAGTTCTCCACCTCCACAACAAGAAACGCGATGCATCTGAGCAAAGCGCTCACATCACATACTGCTTGAATGCCATGACCGTATTTGAGGATCATGTGCGTGCCAATTTTTGTTCTGGCCCAAAGATGATTTCGAATATTTAATCATCACCATGTATAACTTTCAGGTGTCATACATAGCTTTGGCAGCCATGGCAGTAGACGCTGGAAAACTCCGCTTTGGTTACCCAGCCAAAGGCCATTACTTTGAACATTTAGTGGTCGATCACCTGGGGCTCGTTCCTAGCCGTGTTTGGTGCTATCGCTATGAAGATTTCATGGGTCGTCTGGTGCAATGCGCCCAAAGGTGCGTTGCTGGCACACCGCTGACCCTGGTAGGTAGCAAGGTGTTACAAAATTATCGAATGGCATTAAGCGTGCGGTTGGCACGCTGGAGATAAGACAAAAGAAACACACCCACACAATATGTGGCTTGAAAAAGCCAAGGTTTGGGGGCCGAAAGGCCCCACATCTGCTCATAATTATGTATAAACGCGTCCTCACACCAGATGTTTTTTCTATGTGTATATATATATAATTATATATATATTAGTATATATTGCCATGACAAACATGTAAACCACATTCCGATAACACTTTCCATACAAATAACGTTATCAGCATGAATACCGGTATCATGATCCCACTTTTCAATGAAAAATCTTTTTTTTATGAAAATCCGAGATTTTGTTCAAATAGCGTTATCTGCATACCGGTATTGATGTCAAAAACGCATTTTTGACTCCAAATCGAGGATTTCGAGCCTCTGGGTGAGTGACATCTCCAAGACGATCGATGATCTGTCTGATCTGCACCAAAGAAAGCTGTGCATCCATGATGGAGTCCACAGTGAAAGAGTCCCGAAGATGAGCCAGGGTTGCTTTCAGCTGTGTCCATCCAATCGCGCATGCTTTAATGGCCTTGGTCATAACTTCGAGGGTCTCAAGGGTCTGCTCCTCTTCCGCCTCGTAGATCGCCAGAGCCAAAGTCTCAAAGAGCTCCACGTGATGTCTATCAAACTCTCTGCGTACTGGTCGAAGTCCATGCGGCCCATGCGCTTGTTGAACCGGTAAAAGACCATCGTGGCTCTCACGTAGTGCCTCATTGGCCCGTGAGCCGAAGCCCGGGGTAACCTGAGTGTACGGCTTGGCATTCATTGTCTCTCTGCAGGCTGTGGCCGTGCGAAGGTGGACCTGAAGCTTGTCGAAGCTATAAAACTCTTTCAAACAAACTTCACACGTCGTTGAAGCCATCCAGAAGCGTTCAGCAGCTACAATCCCATGGGCTTTGAAAAGATGTGCTCCTTCGCCTGCTCGGTTACGACATCTTTTAGCGCAACTCATGCATCCATAGTGCTGTGTCTCTTGATGAGCGTCAATAGCTGGACGTACAGTAGCCGTGCTGAGGGTGCCATGCTCCTCCAAATGTGCAAGAACATCATGACGTAAGCTGCGCAATAAGAGCTGGTCCATCCCACGCATGCTGCAAAGGCGTTGACCACGAAGAAGTAGTTTGCGCCAATAGCTGCGGTGGTAGCGGAGCACGTATTGCCAGTCACAGAAATGTTGTGAAGGGTCACGTAGCCGACTGGTGTCTGAAATGAGGCCCCACAACCATTTGAGATCTGTCTGGACAAGATGCATCCATTCTACGTCCTGCCGTAAATGGGCCCACGGTGTGATCGTATCACACTTGTACAAGAGACCAAGATAGCGAAGACGCGCAATGCTCAGCAAGTGTGCCGGGTCTGGCAGAGCAGTGAGGGCAAGAACTTCATCCTCCGTCAGTTTCTCTGTGGGAGGTAATTTCAGCAGACGTCGATAAAGTCGAAAGATTGCACTACGGAAGTAGTGGTAGAGCCTGACGTCATGAAAGTACCAAGTCTCCATGCCGTAAACGACTTTGCTGAGCACAATGGATTGGAAGAGTTCTGCCCGCCGCCTCAACGAAAAAGATCCATTTTGAAAGAGAGTCTTCCGGTGAGCAGTGAAGGCAGCATTGCCAATCGCGATACGGCGTCGAAGTTCCCGATGGGAAAGCCCTGAATGGTGTGCGATACTGCCCAAGTGGGTATAACGACCCACGACCGAGATTGTCTGCGTGGCGTACTCGGTCACAACTGGCATCGTCCTCCTTCAGCACTAAAATACTTCACTTTCAGTTGTCTGGAGCCTTTGCCTCTGAAAGTGAAGAGAATCTCGCTCTTCCCTTTGTCCAGATTTGGAGTGACGCCATGTGCCATGCAAGTCTCCAACAAGATGCCTGTGGCTAATCCAGCCCTGTGTTCAACTCCTGCCGCTGTGTCATGAGACAGAGTGATACACAAATCATCCATCCATGTCGGGCCCAGCATGCTGTTGCAAGCTGCGGGGACATTCAAATCCTTCGGGAGCAGGCATGGTTCTGTCGTGTCCTCAATGACCTCCAAGATATCCATGTCTTGTAGCTTCTGCTCCACAACTGTCAGTATGCGGGCAAACATGTATCCGAACACCACATCAGCGAAAGGGTCGCCTGGTCGGCTGCCAATCAGCGTGTGGACTCGGTCCAGCTGCCCATGGAGTCGAAAATGTGTGTTCGTATGTAAAGCCTGCAATGCCCTTCGTAGATGTGGTGGCAAATTGGCTCTCTCAGTGCCCGATGGCGTCTGAAGGAGTGCGTGCAGATCGGCCAATGCATCAGATGGTAGCTGCAGCCGGGCTGCAACGCTGGCAATCAAAGCATCTGGGATGTGGCCACCAATCGAGATGGGTCGTAAAACCCGGTAAAAGGCTTCACGTAGATCCAGGAAAATGAGGGCATGAGACCGATGCAGTCTCCGCGCACGTCGAGCTGCAGCACGGATGTAATGCACACCCATTGACACTGGAATGTGTCTTCTGCCACCGATCTGTTGGGCCTGAAGAAAGTTCTCGTAGATCGAGGCCTGATGCAAACCTTATTTCATGCAGCATGCCGGCTGTAGCCGTAAAATAGAAATCAAGACAGTAGATTCTGTAAACCTTGTCAGCCAGCTCTTTTCCGTGACGTGTATTGAAAATATCCATGTAGTTTGAAGGGACCCGACGCACCGCCTCTGCAAAATTCAGTTGGGCCAGGCCGCAATTAGCGTTTGATTTTGGGACTGTCGTTTGGTTGCATGAGGCGCGAGAGTGTTGAATGCAAAACTTGTCTGGAATAGTTGGTCAACTACCTCAGAATTGTCGTGTTCAATTTGGTAAATACAGTCAAACAAAGGTTCCCCAGTGGCAGCAAACCCGGCTTCAAATGGAGTGACCTGAAAACCTGCATGTTCTTGGACTCTATCGTACAAATTATTGTCAAGCAGCCACGACAAAGCGTCCAGAAACTGTTCGAACGTAATGTCCGTAACGTTGAACTGTTGAGCCGTGAAAGCCATTCTTGTTTGGTACAATGATAGCACATCTTTGAGAAAACCCTCGGACAGACATGCAACATAACTGCTGATAACTCTTTGGTAAGGGTTCCTGACAAACTTGATCCGGGTCATCGGCTGGCATTTCCATATTCTGTATGGAATTTGTCTTGGCGATAGCCACGAAGAATATTTCATAGCGTGCCCCAGCAGATGCATGTGTCTCAGCAAACTGGTTACTGCACCTGTGCATCCAGCTTTCTCCGTCCAGCCCACCATCAAAGCTGTTCTACGATCAACCAAAAAATGCGCAAACATTTGTGTACTGTGTGGTCCCCAAGCAACTGTGGCAACAGTTTGTGTTCTTGCCAATTCATATTCCATCATGCGTAAAAGGGTGTGAAATAATTTTAGGATTTTTTTTTGGGCAGGTTTGGGATTTTTTTTTGGATTTCTTGGCTGGTACCATTTGCCTAGTGTTTGCAACGGTTTGGAACTTGAATTTGTCATTTTGCATGGTATTTGCCACATTTGGGCATGTTCACCTTCCATTCTGCATGGGATTTACTACATGTGGGCATGTTCACCTTCCATTTTGTATGGTATTTGCCGCATTTTGGCATGCTCACCTTCCATTTTGCATGGGATTTCCTACATGTGGGCATGTTCACCTTCCATTTTTGTATGGTACTTGCCACATTTTGGCATGTTCACCTTTTGCACGGGATGTTCTACATGTGAGCATGTTCACCCAAATATTTGCAGATGCGGAAGCTTGGGATTAGATAAAAAGCGGGTGGGGGGGATTGAGGGAGGGCGGTAGCTATCTATCCAGCTAGCTAGCTATCTAGCTATCTAGCTAGCTATCTATCTAGCAAGCTAGCTATCTATCTAGCAAGCTATCTATCTATCTATCTATCTAGCTATCTATCTACCTATCTAGCTAGCTATCTTGCTAGCTATCCATCTACCTATCTAGCTATCTAGCTAACTATCTATCTAGCTATCTAGCTATCTAGCTTTCTATCTATCTAGCTATCTATCTATCTAGCCATCCAGCTGTCTATCCAGCTATCTAGGTATCGAGCTATCTAGCTAACTATCTATCTAGCTATCTAGCTATCTAGCTATCTAGCTTGCTATCTATCTAGCTATCTATCTATCTAGCCATCCAGCTGTCTATCCAGCTATCTAGCTATCGAGCTATCTATCTAGCTATCTATCTATCTAGCTAACTATCTACCTATCTATTTACCTATCTATCTATCTATCTAGCTATCTATCTAGCTACCTCTTTATCTATCTAGCTAGCTATCTATCTAGCTATCTATCTAGCCATCTATCTATCTAGCTATCTATCTAGCCATCTATCTATCGAGGTATCTAGCTATCTATCTCTCTAGCTATCTATCTATCTAGCTGGCTATCTATCTATCTAGCTATCTATCTACCAAGCTATCTATCTATCCAGCTATCTATCTATCTATCACATGTAATCCTGTCAGCTTTCCAGAGAAGGTTAGTTCGCAAAAACCAACTAATGTAACTTGGGTTTAAGTTTAAATAAAAAAAGCGGGAGGGGGGGATTGGGGCAGCGCCTCCCCCCAAAGCAGAATGCAAGCACCTCTTCTCACATGTTACGTTGCTAGTTTTCAAGAGAAGGTTGGTCATGTGATACTCAGGGATGTAAATACTGTGCAAAATGCATCTTACATGAAAATCAAGTATTTAAAGCAGGCAAAGCAAAACAAGATGAAGCCCACGAACCCGAATGCTCACACGTACAGATGTCAAAACACATGGTTATGCAGTCACGCACAATACCTTTCTGCAATAGTTTTTTTGAACAGTCTTGTACATGTTTCCCTTGTTACCAGTCTGCAGTGTGGAGTGGAAAGTGTAGAGTGTGGAGTGCGGAGTGTGAAGTAACGAGTGTGGAGTGTAAAGTGTGGAGTGGGGAGCGTAGAGTGTGTAAAGTGTAGAAGGCGGAGTGTAAAGTGTAGAGTGTGGAGTATGGAGTGTAAAGTGTAGAGTGTGGAGTGTAGAGTGTGGAGTGTGGAGTGTAGAGTGTGGAGTGAGGAGTGTAAAGTGCAAAGTGTGGAGTGTAAAGTGAGGAGTGTAAAGTGTGGAGTGAGGAGTGTGGAGTGTAAAGTGAGGAGTGTAAAGTGTGGAGTGAGGAGTGTGGAGTTTGTAATTGTAGAGTGCGAAGTGTAGAGTGTAAAGTGTAGAGTGTAAAGTGTAGAGTGTGGAGTGTAGAGTGTAGCGTGTGGAGTGTGGAGTGGAAAGTGTAGAGTGTGGTGTGTAGAGTGTGGAGTGTGGAGTGTAAAGTGTGGAGTGTAGAGTGTGGAGTGTAAAGTGTAGAGTGTGGAGTGTGGAGTGTAAAATGTGGAGTGAGGAGTGTAAAGTGGAAAGTGTGGAGTGTAAAGTGTGGAGTGTAGAGTGCATAGTGTAGAGTGTAAAGTGTAGAGTGTGGAGTGTGGAGTGTAAAGTGTGGTGTGTAGAGTGTGGAGTGTGGAGTGTAAAGTGTGGTGTAAAGTGTGGAGTGAGGAGTGTCAAGTGTGGAGTGTGGAGTGTTGAGTGGAAAGTGTGGAGTGTGAAGTGTGGAGTGTAAAGTGAGGAGTGCGGAGTGAGGAGTGTAAAGTGTGGAGTGTGGAGTGTAAAGTGTGGAGTGTAAAGTGTGGGGTGTGGAGTGTGGAGCGTAAAGTGTAGAGTGTGGAGTCTGGAGTGGAAAGTGTAGAGTGTGGTGTGTAGAGTGCGGAGTGTGGTGTGTAAAGTGAGGAGTGTAAAGTGGGGAGTGTGGAGTGTAGAGTGTGGAGTGAGGAGTGTAAAGTGTAAAGTGTGGAGTGTGGAGTGTGGAGTGTAAAGTGTTGTGTGGAGTGTGAAATGTGGAGTGGAAAGTGTAGAGTGTGGTGTGTAGAGTGTGGGGTCTGGAGTGTAGAGTGTAAAGTGCAGAGTGTAGAGTGTAAAGTGTAGAGTGTAAAGTATAAAGTGTGGAGTGTAAAGTGTAAAGCGTGGAGTGTAAAGTGTGGAGTGTGGAGTGTGGAGCGTAAAGTGTAGAGTGTGGAGTCTGGAGTGGAAAGTGTAGAGCGTGGTGTGTAGAGTGTGGAGTGTGGTGTGTAAAGTGAGGAGTGTAAAGTGTGGAGTGAGGAGTGTAAAGTATAAAGTGTGGAGTGTACAGTAAAGTGTGGAGTGTTGGAGTGCGGAGTGTGGAGTGGAAAGTGTAGAGTGTGGAGTGTGGAGTGTAAAGTGTGGAGTGTGGAGTATAGAGTGTGGAGTGAGGAGTGTAAAGTGTAAAGTGTGGAGTGTGGAGTCTAAAGTGTAAATTGTGGAGTGTGGAGTGTAAAGTGTAGAGTGTGGAGCGCGGAGCTTCCCCCATAGACACGGCGACGCCACAGGAAAACCAGAGACTCGAGACGAGACACGTGGGTGCAAAAAAACGAGCATTTCGTGCAAGACTTCCTCCAATTTTGATATTTTCGACACGTTATCAAACAAGTTTGGAATGTCACAAAGTGCCACGCCTGCCACGCAAAACGACATGACAACCTGCTTGGACACATTTTGAATAGGAGATGTTTTCCAGCTTCCCCCATAGACACGGCGACGCCACAGGAAAACCAGCGACTCGAGACAAGACACGTGGATGCAGAAAAACCAGCATTTCGTACGAGGCTTCCTCCAATTTTGACATTTTCGAAACATCATCAAACAGGTTGGAATGTCAGAAAGTGCCACGCCTGCTACGCAAAA